ATAGATTATTTGATTTTAGAGAAAGTAGTGATTAGTAGGGACAGAAGTTAGGACTTTAATAAGAAATTTCGCCCCTGAACACAATTTTCTGGCGGGTTAATGCCATCTATTCGTCCCTCTACTATCAAAAATAGTACAATTTAAATCTTCTACCATAAATTCTCTTCATGTCCTCCCTCTACTATTTATTAACTCCACCTATCCTCACTCTACAATGTAAAAACATATCAATGTCATCCCTCCTTCGTCCAATTTAAGCTAACGACCCTATTTATTGATCGTTTAAAGGCAAACAATCACAAGTTTAGGCCTTTTTTTAATCCTTTTTTGTCACCCGTGTTTTATGGGCCCCACCTTTGCCACATCATCTCTCACCCTTTAACTTTACTCTTTGCTTTGTTTTTTTTTCCCTCCTTTGCAAATGCAGGAAACCACCCAGCAACTACCACCTGAACCGTTCGATCGTCTCTAACCGCCCAGCCCTCGATCTCACCTTCGTCTCAGTCTACGAAAACACCAGTTTGACTCGTCTCTCCAGTCTCCACTAGATCTCCATGCCTGAGCTAGGTGGCGCTACCAAGAACTAATCGTCAGATCTCATAATTGGCGACGGCCGCTTCAGACTCGTCTACAAGGCCACTCCCTCCAACAGCGTCACCGTTGCCATCAAGAAACTCGATCGAGATGCCTTCCAGGGCCTCCATGAATTCCAAGCCAAAATGGAAATGCTCGAGAAGCTCCGCCACTAGAACATAGTGAAGATTCTGCGTTACTGTTCGACGAGTCATGATCGGATTCTTATCTACGAGTTTCTCGAAAAAGGAAGTGTGGACCAATGGCTGCAAGACAAGTCATCACAGGAGGAGCGCGGACTTGTAGAATGGCGATCGTGGTTATCTTGGAAGACAAAGATTAAGGTTGTAAGAGGAATACATAATGAGTTGGCTTATTTACATGGGCTAGACACCCCCGTAATCCTAGAAGACGAAGATTAAGGTCGTAAGACGAAGGCTAAGGCAAGTTCACTCTATGAGAGATGATGTGGCAAGGGTGGGGTCAACAAGGCATGGGTTGCAAAAAAAGGGGTTAAAAAAGGCCTAAACATGTGACCGTTTGCACTTAAACTATCAATGAACAGTGCTGTTAGCTTAAATTGGATGGAGGGATGACATTGGTATGTTTTTGCATTGAGAGGAAGAACAGGTGAAATTAATTAATAGTAGAGGGAGGACATGAGGGAAATGGACACTAGAGGGTTTAAATTGCACTATTTTTGATAGTAAAGGGACAATAGATGGCATTAACCCATTTTCTGGCTCCGTTTTTGTGTCCTTGCTGTTGTTTTCTCTTAACCACCACCATATCATAAATAGGTGTTTTTGCCCTGATTCTTTCTCTTCTTTTTATTTATTTATTTATTTATTTTTTAATTAGGTATTGAATAATTTGGTGTAGGCCCTTGAATGCAAGGTTAGACCCCTCCCAATTTGATGGTTTTTGTTTTGTAATTTAATTTATATAATTTGAAATTATGGAATACAGAACTTTTGTAAATAAATAAACAAATATTATTTTCATATAATTTATTAAATAGATGAGGGAGTTGTGTTTCCTGCAAGTCAAAATATACTAGGTAAAAGCTTATTTAGCCCCTTATCTTATCAAATTTAAAAGTTTTAACCCATAATCTTATATTATGATACTTTTAACCACTCATCTCACTAGATTTGTAGGTTTTAATAACTCATCTTATATTATGATATTTTTAACCCATCGCCTATTAAAATTGAAGAAAATGGTCCTCATTTTGTAACATTTTATTAGTTCTATTAGCTGACTGTTAGTTGACTGTTAATTGATAAAAACCTTCTTTTAACTAACAAAATCAACATAACTCAATGTTGTTAAAGGCAAAAAGCGAGGCAAAGCAATGGCCTAAAAAATGCTGAAGCGATGAAGTGAGAAGCGAAGCGATCGCTTCTTTAAAGTGAAGTAACACTTTGAAGTGATCAGTTATTAAATAGAATATAACTAATTAGAATAAAAACTTAAGAGTGGAAAAGTAGAATATGGTGCAAGTAATATGTTTAAATTAAATTCTATTTTATTGAGTGCAAGTAGAATTAAATTCTGTTTTGGCATTAAAATTCAAGAGTCTTATAAAGTGAAAAATTGACTATTTCAACCTATACTATACAAATGATATTAAGTTTCTTAATCAAGGTCTCCTAGACTAGATAGATCTGAATACTATAAGTTTACCAATAAGAAAGAAAGAAAGAAAGAAAGAAGAGAATATGTCATAAAGTTACGGAAGAGGATGAAGTCAGGGAAAAAGAAGAGATGGGAAGGAGAAGAGGATGAGGTCAGGGAAGAAGAAGAGATGGGAAGGAGAATATGCAAATTAAAAAAAAAAAAAAGAAAGAAGAAAGAAACAAGAAAGGACTTTCCTATAAATGGAAGATGAATTGATGAAGTTAAGACTCAGGAAGATGACAAAGAAGAAAGAAAGAAAGAAAGACAGAAAGAAGAGAATATGTCATAAAGTTACAGAAGAGGATGAAGTCAGGGAAGAAGAAGAGATGGGAAGGAGAAGAGGATGAGGTCAGGGAAGAAGAAGAGATGGGAAGGAGAATATGCAAATTAAAAAAAAAAAAAAAGAAAGAAAGAAACAAGAAAGGACTTTACTATAAATGGAAAGATGAATTGATGAAGTTAAAACTCAGGAAGATGACAAAGTTAGGACTTAGGAAGATGATGAAGTCAAAAGACAATGGAGTTACAAAGAAAATTAGGGGAAGAGGTAATCAGTAGGCACAGAGCTTCCTGTTTCTGTCCTAATTGGAGTCAAAATCCAATTTAAACTCTTAATGCTTTTATACTTTTTGTCATTTTGTGTCATTTTAAAAAAGTGATCGCTTCAACATCAAAGTGCTTTTATTGCTTCACTTCGCTATAGTCACTTTGGGACCGCTTCTTTTAAGCACAACGCTTAAGAGATTTTGAAGCAGTGGTGCCTCTGATCGCTTCGCTTCATCGCTTTAAGCGGTGAAGCGATCGCTTTTGACAACACTGACATAACTAACTTTATAATATTTTGTTAATTTTATTAACTGACTATTAGTTAACTGTTAGTTGACAAAAACTTACTTTCAACTAACAAAGTTAACAATCAATATAAAATGAAGATTATTTCCTTTGATTTTAATGAGGGACTAAAACTTATAAATTTAGTAAGTTAAGGGGTTACAAGTATCTTAATATAAAATGAAGAGTTAAAATCTTTAAACTTAGTAAAGTGAGGAACTAAAAGTAAATTTTTGCCAATATACTAGTATACGACGTCAGTACAGCTCCTTTTTATTGCAATACAAACAACTCCTCTTTTTTTTGAACGTGCACAAACAACTCCTCTTCATTGCAATATATAAACAAATTCTCAATTCTTCGGCAACTCCTGTTTATATGATGCATATTATACTACACTCCCCGTTGCCAACAGCAACAGAAATCCAAGACCCTTTTAAGAACAAAGTAAGCAATAAAGACAGGGAAATAGAGGACACGGACGAAGAGATAATTGTATCCAAAAGGGGTGAACAATGGAGCAACCGGCGCTGTCGTCACTGCAAGAAACAAGCCTCCCGTCATGATCATAGCCAAGCCGAAGGGAGCGATGTTTTTGAGTCCTAGCAGAAGGGCAAATCCAAAAGCCAAACACAATGTGTATAAGGAGGACCCCACAATCAGTGATGCGACCCAGACAAAGAATGATGCTTGGTTGATATCAAGCAGTTGGACCCAACAAAGGATTATAGCAGCCATGATTGCAAGGTTGAGGGCTAGAGTGTCGAAGAAAATGAATACCCGTAAGTATATCAACCACCGCCATTGAGTTGTGGCATGGTTGGTTGTGGTGCTGCTGTTATTGGGGCCAACATTTTCATCAGCACCGGTACCGGGGATTTGAAGAGCACCGGAAAACGCGGCAGCAGCAACAAGTCCTGCAACCACAAAGAGGCCGGTCACTCTGTTCTCGATAAGCTTTTTATCCGCTCTCCTCAGCTTGATCTCCGACTTCAAACTCATCTTTTGTGGCTTTCGACGGAGCATGGTTTCAAGTAGATGTAGCACAAATAAAACTGACAACGTCATCATCTGTGGAACAAATAATTGTTACTACGATCTCCTTTTGTGAGTAGAGATCCTAATTACAAGTGCGGCAAAAAGCTTTTGTCAACTCAAACCGGATAATTAGACTGGCAATACATGAGCCCATAATTAGTGAGATGGAGCCCCACTAATAGTTCGACGCAAGTATTTCCAATCCGGCGTGGAAAAACAGGGCCCTCCGATCATTAGAAGGGTCAGACTATGCCAAAACAAAAATGTTACTTCTAAATTTTTTTTTTTTTGAACTGAAGTTAAAAAATCTTACTTCTAATTGGGTACGTAAACACCGGTAAATTTATAAAAAGAATATATATATATATATTGTGAGCAGCTGGAATGGACTATATATAGCTCTTACCGACTGTACTGAATCTGGTGCACAGCTTCTCTTTGAATTAGGCTGCTTCCTCTTCTCCTGTATTAGGATGGAAAGAGCAAAATAATTAACTCGTATTGAAAATAAGTCAAGAATGGATATAGAAATTACTCATCGGGAGCCATTTATTGAAATCTCATTTCTGGTACCCAAAACATAGATAGTTGGGAGGGAATTTGGAATGAGGGTAGGGAAGCCAATTATCGGATGTACATTAAAAAATAAAAGAGTTCATTTTTTTTTTTAAACATATATATAATATTCATTAACCGTACTTTAAAAAATAGGCAGATTAAAATTATTTAAATAGAGAATCACAGCAAGGTACTCCAAATAAATCAACTTTATGGATTGCTTAGGTTATGTAGAGTATGGTTGTAATTTTAAGTTTTTAATTTTAGTTTTTAAAATTTTAAGAATCTTAGAATAAAATTAAGAAATTTTATAAATTACGTTTTTCTTTTCTTGGGATCTTGAAAGGTGACATTTTTAATCATTTAACACATGCTATTCATATGTCATGAGATTTGAATTTAAGATATCTAACTTTTTCGAGAAAGAAATTACCATTGAATTATTTAAGTTATTAGCATAAATTACTCCTAATTAAGTTCAAAGTTTAGAGTATTAGTTTTTAAAATGTATACCTAATAAGTTACTAATTTTAATTTTTTAATTTTGATTTTCAATTATTAATTTTGATTATTTAAATTTTACAGACTAAAATCAAAAATAAAAAACCATAATCACACTGGAATTTAAAAGTATATATTTTTGGATTAAAATTTAAAAATCTTACTAGGTTAGCTTTCTTATGATCCAGAGAATTCTCCCCAGCAGAGACGGTGTAACAATAATAATAAGAAAAAAAGTGTCATACAATTTAAATTATACTAAATTATATAATTATAACCTTTGGATAGGATGAACTATTGATATTAGGAGCTCTCTCCATTTAATAGCTTCTATTTTATAATTTGAATTGCATTATGTTGTAAAATAGAATATTCTAGTAATAATATATGTTGTTTTGGTAAATCAGCTTTATTTAAAGAGAATCACAGCGAGGTTCTCCAAATAATTCAGCTACTTATGGGTTGCTAACAGTATTTATTTCCGGATTAAAATTAATTTTAAAATCTCAGGAGGTCAGAATTCTTTTGATCTGAAGACTTCTTATCCTCCCCCTGCCCATGTCATAACAATAAATAAATAAATATATATATATATATATATATATATGCACATCATTTTTATCAGCAAAAATATATACGTACGTACCTTTATACACACAGAATTCTGTTCTTCACTTCCTTCATCGACTCCAGCTCGTATCTTAGCTATGCCAAAGGGAGTCAAGCCTTCCACGTTCAAAATCTGTGAGTTGCAGTTCCTGTTCAACACGAGGGTACCGACAACCAGAGAATGGCCGTTCATAGCAGCCAAATGCAGAGGCGTATTCCCATCCTTATCCTCCATGTTCAAGAGTTTAGGGCCAAGATTGGGATCCTTAAGTATGCACCTCACAACAGAATCCCTGCCATTTTTGGCCGCGACGTGGAGGATGTTTTGGTAATTATTGTCAAGGAATTCAGTTGGATCAAGCCACGCTGAGCGCAATGCTTGGTATGCTTTAACATTGCCGCTTTCACATGCAACATGAAGAGGATACATACCCTCATTGTCCCTTTCACTGATTTCAGAAGGAAAATTTTCAGAAATGTAATTTATTGCTTCCAAATAATCCGTTTCTGCTGCACAGTGAAGCGCCCTCCGGCCATTCTCGTCTGTTAGGCCTATTAGCTTTGGCCTGTTGCTTAGTATTTGAAACATGTGACCTGTTTTAAAGTTTTAGAAGATTAAGGACATAATTGCATTGTTTTAAAGATAAAGGAATATGATAAAAGAACAATAAAAGAGAATTAATTAATGCATGTGCGGGCATGCATGCTTTTATACCATATCTTTTATACTTAATGGCAGCATGCACTGGTGATTGCCCTTCTGGTAGTCTTGTAGTCGAAGGGTTCCCCAAGAGATGATTGAGCATTTTCTCTTTGAAATCGGCTTCCACAGCCAAATACAACGGAGACTCCCCTTTTCTATTTTGAATATATGCCGTTTCCGGGTCTGCAGAAACCAGCTTTTCCACCGCATCACCGTACTTGGCATCACAACCGTAAAGACTCATAGCCTCATGCAAAGCTGTGTTTCCCCAGCCATTTTTCACCCTCCCAATCAGAGTAGGAGTACTGTCTTGTGGTGCAAGATGGGCATAACCCTGGAGAAGAACTCGGATGGTCTCAGTATTTCCTGTTTTGGCAGCAAGGTGAAGTGCAGTATCTCCTGCATCGTTTTTCTCAACAATCAGTTGGGGATGGCCCTGAGCCAACCATTCCATTATATCTTTGCTTCCAGTTTTCACAGAGCGCACGGCTGCATGAAGCAATGTGTCACCGCAAGTGTTAACGACTTTGATAACAGACTGAAGCGGATACCGGGTTGAGGCATCTAGAACTGCCACCTCGAAGGATACGAGCATTGCGCTTTGTGATGCAGCTTTGAACAATGTCATCTTATCAGCTGGTGAGATTTCGATCATCTCTGGATCCATCTCCATTTAAGGTAATCTATGTGTTTAATTCCAACAGAAAAACAATGGAAATTAAAATGTAGGAAAACGTTGTTGTTCTTTAAAGGCAGACCAGAAAACGAAGTAAGATTCATTTCTTTCATTACTTATAATTCCCGACTTATCTAGATGAATGTGAAACACAACTGCCTTTATTTCTTACTCAATTTCTAAAATAAAAATGTTATACTTATAATGCTACGTGAATCACACTGGTATGCTACAAATTACTCCTACATGGCTTGGTCGTCCTTATCACTAAATACTACCTCATTACTTGTTAGGTTAGAGAAACTCTACCTTATCAAAAGTGCCAATGTTGAGGGGATCAGAAGGAACCGTATGGCCACTCACTTTTGTTGAATTAAACACAGCGTCTGCATTGCTCAACACATTTTAAAATAATGTCAGAGTAAGAGAGAAATTCAATCCTCAGAACTTATCATTTTATAATAAAGCCAAGCAAGGTATATGGAACCCCAATCACTAAAGTGCCAAGTACAATGACAGTACTAAATATACATTTCTACTTTTGATACAAGGGAAGACGCATTGAATCCATTCCTTCTAAAGGATGTGTAACGACAGTTATTGGAACCAGAATGTCAAAACAAAAGATTGCTCCAAATTTGAACCCTAAAGTTGAATTAACAAATACATACCTGCACTTAAGTCAACTGCTTCCTCTACATGAAATCCAATAGATTGCTCAAATGCTCCAAAATCAGAAATGCAGAACAGATGTATTGTGCTTCCTTCTGTGCCACTGAAAACCAGAATAATCAATAAAAAAGTAAGGAACATGGCACCTAAAGCAATAACATTAACATGAAATTTGTGCTTTAAATTCAGCAAGCATTATAGCAAAGAGAAACACAGGAAAGTCCTGCATTAAACAATTACGTAAGGCATACTAGATCCACTAATACTATATCATGATGGGTTCAATTCAAACATAAATAAAAGAGAAAAAAAGCATAAATTACAAGCTGAGTCTTCCAAATCTGGGCAAAAAGATTGAAAGCCCAAATGCAGTTTTTGCTCCTAATTCACTTTTAAAAGACAGCACTCCACCACAACAAAGTTCTTAGAGCAACAAACTCTGTCATATCTCACTACATAAAACACTTAATATACTGCCCTCCAGTGGTACCCATCAAACAAGAAATTAAACCAATCAATATGCTCTATTTTAACATGTTGAGACATGATGTTCACAGTTTAATACCAGATAACCAAAAGGATTACCCTTTGAGAGGAACAGGGACTGAGTGTAACTATACAGCAACAACAGTTGTAAAAAAATCTCTATGTTTGAACTAAGAAGACAAGAGATGTAAGAATTTGGACTATGAAAATATGAGCACAAAAAGAAAGACTCGAAGAAGAAAAGGAAATGGACCATATATTGGTGGAATATTCAGCAATAAATTGAATGGGTAAAGAGGGAATTTAAAGGGTATTGTTAACAGCTAACTGCGGGTCAAAGCTCAGCATCACACTGGATGCTTTGTTCTCAACATCTGCATCAGGCCTCACTGTTCTACTCTCCATATGTCCCCATCATCACATTTTCTTAGTTCCTTCAAATAATTAGAACCCCTGACCCTTAATCTGAAAGAAACTGCAAAAGACCCCCATCTTCCCTTAGTAAAGACAGCTAAAGACAGAATTGAAAATGGTACAAAGTGACAACATAAACCGTGAAAGTCTGAAATAGGTATAACTGTAAGAGGCCACCAGCAGAAGTGCAGAACAAAAAAATGAAAAGGAAGAAAAAAAAAAAATCCCTAAACAGTAGCATCAGCAAACTTCAAGTAAGGCCCTGTCCAAAATAAAGAGTAATCCCTGTCCCGGTAACCAACTAAATATCATTGCAGTGCATGCTACAAAAGAAATTAAACAGGTATTTCTTGATTGCAGCTGCTAAGGGTAAAAACATTTCATCTAAGACAACAAACAGCCAAATCAGCTCATAATATAAACAAACTGAAACTAAAGGGACCAAATAAAAAAGGCTTAATGAATGCCAAGAAGAGCAGAAACCAATGTTAACGAAATAAAACATAGAAATCTTAGATGGTGTAACTTTTAATCCAACAACCATAAAACCACAAACAAGATATTTATATCGCACAATGATAACCACCAACCAAACCTAGCTAGCTGCAAATATCAAAGAGAAACACCGCAAAGAGAATAATTTGTTAGGAGTTACTAAAGATGGCATTCAACTTCTCTGAGCCTAGTTAGACACGGGACCAGCAATACTACAAAAACAAAAATGGGATAAAACGCAAAAGACTAAACTAAGTTATCCTGACACTTATTCCGCATTCCCACCAACCCAGAATTAGTGGGAGCCAAAATCTTTTAATAATTTAATAACCAAATGAAACCCCAAATTAAAAGAGCTTCAAATGATCAAGGTCATCTATCCTAATAAGTGGTATACAACTTTGAGATCAACCTATCATACTTCATTCCAAGACACCGAATCAACCAAACCCAAAAGGAAAAAAATTGAGCGATCAGCTTTCAAAAAGGAGAATTTATCTACCAACAACATTGGGCACCCAAATTTTGCACCATCCAATAATAGCAAGAAAGCACAGCCCAGCCCTGACCAAAAAACAGAAAAACCCCACAAAACCCCAAATTACAGGTGCTTCAAAACACACAACTTTTAACAATAAAAGAAAAGAACCAACCCCAGAAACCAAAACCACCACAAAGCAACGATTTTTAAACTTGGAAGTTGGAACAAACCAACATTCACCAACTTTAAGTGAGAGCAAGCATTAAAACACCATAAAAATGAAAAACCCAGCAAAGTGAAAACCCACCCGTGATTCTGAAGATGATAGAAAAATTACTTGGAATATACACAGAGAGGGAGTAAGGAAGAGAACATATTGTTATAGGTAGTGATGGCAAAGGCGTCTTATTTACGCACTTCACGTACGGTTTAAAAGATTAAAAATAAAAAATAAAAAGTAATATTTAATTTATTAATTATTTAATTAAATTTATTTATATAATATTAATTATAAAAAATAATATTTATTTTTATTTATATATATATTTATTATAAAAATATATTTAATTTGTATTTTAAAAACACATTAAAAAAATCCTTTTAAAAATGGGGGTGGGTTTTTGGGATTTGTTTAGTGCTTTGACATGAATTGTTTTTCTCTGCCCTTTGGGCCCCTTTTTTTTCTTCTCTGAGAAAAAATGTTAGGAATTATTAAAGATAGCATTCAACTTCTCTGAGACTAGTTAGACACGGGACCAGCAATACTACATAAACAAAAAAGGGATAAAACACAAAAGACCAAACTAAGTTATCCTAACACTTATTCTGCGTTCCCACCAACCCAGAATTAGTAGGAGCCAAAATCTTTTAATAAGTTAATAGCCAACAGAAACCCCAAATTAAAAGAGCTTCAAATGATCAAGGTCATCTATCCTAATAAGTGGTATAAAACTTTGAGATCAACCTGTCACGCTTCATTCCAAGACACATAATCAACCAAACCCAAGAGGAAAAAAATTAAGCGATCAGCTTTCAAAAAGGAGAATTTATCTACCTACAACATTGAGCACCTAAAATTTGCACCATCCAATAATACCAAGAAAGCACAGCCCAGCCCTGACAAAGAGAAACACCAGAAATTTCCAAAGCGCAGACTTGAGATCAAGCTCGCCTATTAAAACACTAAATGAACAGATTGCACCAACCCAACAATATCAGAACCTCATAATCAACCAAAAAACAGACAAACTCCACAAAACCCCAAATTACAGGTGCTTCAAAACACACAACTTTCAACATTAAAAGAAAAAGAACCGACCCCAGAAACCAAAATCACTACAAAGCAACGATTTTCAAACTTGAACAAACCAAATTCACCAACTTTAAGTGAGAGCAAGCATTAAAACACCATAAAAATGAAAACCCAGCAAAGTCAGAAGGAAAACCAACCTGGGATTCTGTAATTGCACCAAACCAGAAGTCTTTCTCAGTCCGCAATTGCACTTCGGGATGACCTGCAAAGCCCCGAGGTGGAACTCGGGGTAGACACTCCGATGCTTAAGTCAGCAATAATCGGGGCTACCTTTAGGGCGGAGATAAGAAAAGCTTAAGGTTGGTTTCAATTACCTTTTTGACGTGGCCCGTGGGGGTATTTATAGGATCCAGTGAGGAACCCACGTGGCATGCCAAGCAAGATAATCGGA